CCTACCTACCTACCTACCTACCTACCTACCTACCTACCTACTCACTCTCTCCCTACCTATCTACTGTATTTCTCGCTCTCTCTTTCTATTTCTCTATCCCTCTATTTACCTACCTACCTACTTACCTACCTACACACATTCTCTCTCCCTACCTACCTACTGTATTTCTCTTTCTCTATCCCTCTACCTACCTACCTACTCTCTCTCCCTACCTATCTACTGTATTTCTCGCTCTCTCTTTCTATTTCTCTATCCCTCTATTTACCTACCTACCTACTTACCTACCTACACACATTCTCTCTCCCTACCTACCTACTGTATTTCTCACTCTCTCTTTCTATTTCTCTATCCCTCTATCTACCTACCTACCTACCTACTTACCTACCTACACACATTCTCTCTCCCTACCTACCTACTGTATTTCTCTATCTCTTTCTATTTCTCTCTCTGTATATCCCTTTATCTACCTTCCTACTTACCAACCTACTCTTCCTACCTACCAATCTACTGTATTTCTCTTTCTTTCTCTCCCTCTCTATCCCTCTATCTATCTACCTACCTACTTTTTTTTTAAATTGCCTTTTCAAAACCTTGGTGCGTCTTATACTCCGGTATGTCTTATACTCTGAAAAATGCGGTATTTTTTGTTTATCAGAGTTATACAGATCTGTACATAGAGATTTTTGTAAAACAGAAAATAATCAGAGTATATCAGAGAATAAAGCAAAAATGTTATCATTCTAGCTGCAGAAGTTAGACATAAAGTCAAGCAAAGCCAAACTGAGTAGAAGTATCTAATGGCACACACAATGAATCCTCAAATGAAAGTTCTAGCAAAGTGTATGATATTCCTGTACAGGAATCTTCTACAGAATGACTAAATTTGGTATACTCCAGTTCTCATACAAAGCAATAGCAGCCTTGAAAAAAGTTTATAGGGTAGGAACTTTTTATTAGGCTACATGAAATTAAATTATTGCAGACCTTAAGAATGCTTCAGTTAAGTCAGTTAAGAAAAATAAGAATTACTGAAAAATCATTGAGTTACACTGAACACACTATAAAAGAATCCTTGAAATTGGACTAATTTGTATTCAGTAGTATGAAATATTTTGTTCAGGTTTCAGGTTGGAAAAAATAAATTCCGTAAAAACATGCAACATGCATTCCAACCACTATTGGTATGAAGAACACATGTTTACGGGAAAGCATCCTGTGATTTCCATGTGTCACTAAAACATAGACATTCTTGAAGGTTTATTTCAGGGTTTCAGCCAAATAAAAATATTAATCTGGGTTAGATTTTTTTAAAAAAAGTTGATTATAGCCAATGTAAACTTTGTGGTTCCACCAGAGAGAATTAGAAACTGATTTAAGATTTACATATAGAAATGCTCCAAGAAAAGAAGGAATGCATAATTTCTCAAATAAACCAAGAATAATATAGAGAAAAATAGGTATAAAAATCTGAAATAAAAATTGTTATGCAAATTTTTAATCAGTCTGTCTCCTTGCTAATTGCTTTTGTGGAACAGGAGATGGGGGAGAATTTCTGCTAAGTTTCAAACAGTCTATTCTTTCTTTCTCTTTTGAAAAAAAATAAAAAAAATGCCATTATTTGCTGATTTGAGATTGGCAGATTCTCATGTGGGAAAGAATTTTTGGCGGAAGGATTCATCCCCAGGATTGTTTGACCCTCTGACACACTCTTATGCATTTGTAGGATTCAGAGCATTCTTCCTGATCTGTGTGTAACTGATCATGTTTGGAAAGTAATGTAGCATAATATTAATAAGAAACATCTGGCAAATCATGTCAGGCTAGAGTCTGTATTCTATCACCCTTACCACAGATATTAGCAAGGATTTCGACAGATGAGTTTAAAAGCCAACTTTGTGATTAATCAATGAGAAATGAAATTACTGTTATGTTCCATATCTTCTTGCGATTAGCTCTTCCATTCTTTCCAGAAAAAAAGATGACTTTTCACATTGTTTTCCTAAAGACACAATGTTGAAAAACACATTTATAGTGGATTAAATATTGGCAATTCAATGTAGCTGTTTTTTATGCCCATAGCTCTAAAGCTTCCAAAAACCAGCTTTGACAGATAAGACACTGGGCTCTTAAGACAAATAGGAGACTTTTGAGAGGGAAAAATTCAGAACTAATTTTTAGTAAGCAGCAGCTACAAAGCTTATCAGCATTCAGCATTAACTTACCTATACCAAACCTCTCCCCTTGCATTTGCTAACTGAACAGAATGAGCTTCACATATTTTGAGGCTATTCCATCTAATTCTCAACCTGGCATTTCTAAATGATCCAGATTGACATGGAACAGTGGAAATAAAATATCTACCACAAAACGTACCACATTAGGCAAAGCTAGTCTAATTTGTAAATTGAGTATTAAGGACATTTTTATCATATGGGATAGAGATGTTTTAGTGCATCAGCTCCTATCAACCACAATCTATATTTACAAAAATATTGACATGATTTCTTGATAATATACAGTACTGAACATACAAATGAGCGTTTCTAAATTTTGAGTGAGTAAATTATCCTCATGCATCGTGAGTTTATCTTCTCAGAAGTCTTTAAACCATCAAATCATCATGCTGTAGTTGTAATCATTGCCTAAATATATCTCTATTAAAGTCCATCAATATAGTTAAAAAATATGTTACCATGTTCTAGTTTTTCTCTTCCAAATATAAACAATAGATTTAACTCTTGAAGGATATCTAATAAAAGTGGCACTCTTAAAGAATCTATTTTTATTTTACTTTCTTTCTTTGGGTGAACAAGAAATATTGTCTTAAAACTGATAGTAGAACAACTTAAATAAAAAGATTTGAGCTCAGTTTCAAGCATGTGAGAATGCCAATTGTGCTCAAACTATTTAATTATAGAAAATAAATCTTCTTTTTAAACACATCAGCCAATAATCTTATTAACTGATTCCAATAAATACTTTGTTATCGTTACATTTCTGTAAAACAAATAAGAATCCCTGTATTTTATTATTAGAAAAAACATTTACTTGCTCTGCTGCTTAAGGTAGGTCCACTGGTCCATATTTTGAGAAAGACATGAAGAAACAAGCCACAAACTATTCTAGATAAATATTTGAATCAACTGTATAATTAAATAAAATACCATGTTTGCAATTTAATAATGCAGCTGGCTCCCTTCACATTCTACATGAAAGACACATATTTGTCTTTTGATGATTTAGAGAAACACTGAAAAATATTTCTTGATTATACAAGTATGCATAGAATTGCAACAAAAACAGTATTTCTAAATCTAGATCAGCTGATATTTTGTAAGCTTTACTAGTACTTTCTTCTGCAGCAACTAAATAGTTTTTATTGCACTTTTTCTTTTTCTGTCTCCTGATTTATAAAACTTCTTTTTAAAAGTATCTCTTTAAATTTTAATTCACTGTCAGTAAAATGAGGTTCTGTAAGTTGCTTGGTCAAATGGTATGCTGCCACTGCAGGGATGAATAGTGGCAGAAGTATGTTATCTTTTTTTGTTAAGGTAGCACAATTATTCTTTAGAAAGATTAGCTATGGACATAATGATGACCGTTCTGTATCATCAGGCTTTTAATGAGTATTTAGTGTTTAATATTATCATGCTTAAATTTATATTTTCCTAATTAACTTTTACTATATTATATTCAGTGGTGGGTTTCAATCTCTTCTGCAGGTGTGCCCTGCTTTGTGGGAGTGGCTTGCTGGCCATGTGACCGGGTGGGAGTGCTTGTCAGCCATGTGACTGGGTAGGCATGGCCAACTTGTAAAATGTGGTGAAACTCACTTAAAAACACTCTTGCTTAGCAATCAAAATGTTGGTTCAGAAACTCTGGCATTTGAAGCACGCAAGTATTAAAGCTGTCAAGTAACAAGACCCTTTACAAAAAAAAAAACCCCAGGG